GGTTTACTTGGAAACTTGGATGGGTGCAATGAAGAGCTTGATCTTGATGAAATATTTGATTTTGAGACGAAGAGTTATGAAGGTATATCGAAGAATTTGGAGATGGATGACGTCTCAGCGAATCTAAATCCATTCTCTGATTCTGATGCTGTTGAAGATGGAGGATTGGTGATTCACTTGTCCGATTTGGATGAGAATCATATCATAGCAAGTTCTGACAACAACAGTTGCAACAACAATGACATACCTGGAAACTTGGGTGGATACAATCAAGAGTTTGAATTCTTTGATTTTGTTATGAACTGTGAAGATTTATCGATGAATTTGGAGGACCTTCTCGACTAATCAAAATATTTGCTTTGACTCTCAAGCTGTTGAAGATGGAGCAATGCAATGCTGATGCACAATGATTTTAATGAGTATAATCTTCACTTGTCTGATTTTTTTCAATGACTTCCAACAATTTTGAAGACAATTTAGGGATTGTTTCAGTAAGAGATATTACCAATGTTTTGCTAAAGCATAATAATATTTCAGACCAATTAAATCTTATCGAGAGATGTAATGCAACATATGAATTTAACATGATAAACTGTCTGAATTTTTTAATTGCAATCTCACCAAAGCCTCTTCACATATCTCAGGAGGAAACTCTTTTAAAAACTCAGAAACAATACGTTCTTGATCTCTCTGCATCTCTTCAATCTCTTCTCTCTGTTTCCTCAACAAAGACTCGAGTTTTTCAACTAGAATCCCAACCTCTTGATCATTGACCGGTCCTTGTGATGAAAAAGACAGCTTAGAGTTAGATCGTGGCGCGAACGGTGAACGTGAAGCTCCTCCAGCTTCAGCCTTAGGAGAGGACCAGAATTTTCTCCCTGAAGGAAATCTATCTAAATGCAGGGTTTCAGGAGACAAACACTTTTGGATATCTGAATACTCATCTCCATTGAGATGAGAAGGGTTCCAATCGGGAATGTGTGAATGTATCTCTTGGTCTATCATTTTAGCTATTGTTGAGATGTCTTGATCATCGGTTAAGTCTAATTCCTCGACCATTTCGATAGCGACTGAGAAAGATGTGTCTGTCTCTATGTTAAATGGGAAATGGATGTTACGGATTTGACCTGTTTAAAAGTGTTATAATTATCAAGAGACGATTCAATGATGACAATACGAAGATGTTAGTTTTCTCTTTTAAATAAAAAAATAAGATTGAAAGTAACCTTTGGAGTTGGTGATACGTAGTTTTAGGAAGATTGTATTGAGGTCTTTACGTTGTCCTTCTACGGTTAATAGACCTACCGCAGAATCCGAGAGATGATCTTCGACTCCTCTTCCATTGCAGCCATTCTCTATACATTGATGAAAAGTGGCAGCGTAACTGAATTCATGTTAGAAATATCACATCGAAACAAATAGAAACCATATACTATTTACATACTACATGGTATATAAAAGCCATAGGTTGCAACTGTTGGATTTAACATAGAAGTCCATGGGTTTGACAAAAAAAAAAAAAACATAGAAGTCCATGGAACTTCTTATGATACTACAAAACCCAAGCAAGATGAAGTGAAATACCATAAATATGGTTACCTTTGTGAGATGTGACTATTTCGGTCTTTTCATTGTAGCATTTCAGAAAGGGATCATCAAGTAGTTCCTTGGCCGACAAGCGCTCCGAGACCTTTGCTATGCACTTCTCTATGAATCTTCTCACTTGCGGATCTGTCACACTCGCAAGTGAGGCCGGTTTTATTCCCTGATAATCATCAAGTAATTCAAATGGACCGACTACATGTAGATGTCATTTTTTATTGGACTTCAGATGGAGGAAAGAAATTACTTACCGATGTAACTTTCTTATAAATCTGAGCGGCATTCCTGCATTCGACATAAGGGTATTCGAAAGTTACAAGCTCAAGCAAACACATTCCAAATGCGTATATATCGACGAGTACATTATAGTCCTCTTCATAGAGTTCCGGGGCCATAAATTCAGGAGTTCCTAATAATTTCAATCACAATTTAGCATCACAAAAAATGCTTTGAATTTAAGTATGAACAATATTAAATAACTCACCGATAACGCTATGAGCTGAGCGAGCTCGGTGCAAAATTGCAGCTAACCCGAGATCTCCAATTTTGACCTCGCCTTGGTTTCCATTAATGAAAATGTTATCACATTTTAGATCTCTATGGATCACAGGAGGATCATGACTATGAAGATAAACAAGCCCCTCTAAAATCTGCCTTGACCATTTCTTCAATGCTCTTAAATCAACACACTTATGCTTCTTCCTATACCTATAAAAGCTCGAGAACTCGAATCGATTTAACGAAAAAAACCACAAAAGAGTTGCATAACATTGGATTTGAGAGTGAGATAGAGGAATCTGACTGTCTGAGATTTCCGGAAGTGAAGAATTCTGTGATGAGATTGATAGTCATGTGTTGGTGATCGATCCAAGAAGTGTAGAATTTGATGATGCTTTTGTGTTTAAGGGTTTTGAGTAAGTGAACTTCAGAGTAAAGACGCTCCAAATCATCCGAGCTACAGAGTTTGTCGTCTACCTTAACTTGGTTCCAAGCTACTTCGATTCCTTCGAGTTGATCAAATGCTCTGTATCTGAAGAATATCTCTGATCAAAGAAAAAACATTTTGTGACACTGTTTTGTCGGCAAAGAGACCAAATCTTTGCTGATGTTTTCATGTAATAATAACAAAGAAGAGAGATCTATGAAAAAAAGGATACACTTGCTTGAAAGCTCCTTTGCCTAGAACATCATTATACTGTAAAATGAGAAACAAAAAGATTTATTAATCGAAAAGTATTCAAGAAAATGGTTAGAAAAGGATAAATTAAATAAAGAAGAACAGACTCGGCCATAGCGACCAGTTGGATCAATCTCAACGAATTCTTCCTCGGAATTTTCTTCGTCTTGTCGCATTCTTGCGAGTCAAAAGAAATAAAAACAGAGGATTTCTTGAGAGAAGAAAGAAACTTAATTTTTTTTCTTCTTTGGGACCAAAATAAAGCAGTTTCTGATTGTTATTACTATTACTTAGCTGTTTTATGAGTATTTATTAATTGATTATATATATATATATGTTAGTATAATGACTTTTTCTGCCATTGAAGTTAAAAACCAAGCTTGATCTTTTTTTCCAGCTAGACTGTAGAGTATTGGACTCTCTCTCTCTCTTACTCTTATCTTCAAATTTTGGACACCCAGATCCGTTGGACAAGGCCACGTGGCAGAGGTGTGGGTCGTTGCTTTTTTCGCGCCATGGATCTGGTTTTTATCTTATTTTCTTGCCTATAATTATTCATTTATTGTCATGTGATCTTAAGTGTTTTGTTTTAAGCAATTATTATTTTGCGGTCAACTTCAAGGTGTTTTCTTCTTCCTTAAGTCACAGTCTATAAACCCTAATTGTTACTATCCTAAAGAGAAACAAAAGTAAGAATTGGTTTGGTAAATTACAAACTCGAGGTTCGAGCTACGATTGGATCCAAACTTCTCAGCAATATTATTTCAAACATGTGTTCGAGTAATATTTGTTACAATCTTTCTTTCTCTTTTTCTGTGTCAAAAATCATATTTTCCACTATTATATCAAATGATTTGATGTTTTAGAGAATTTTTTTTTATCAAAAAAGTTAATGTTTTAATTTTTCTAGCTAAAAAATTAATATTTTTTTTTTCATTTTTTAGATCATTTAGATTCTACAATATTTTTGTG